TAGCTACATGTAGATAGATCTCACATTTTACGGCTTAATGTACTATATTTACCTTTTAAAATGAACTTTAGGTAATTCAGTAACAGATATTTTTTTCTCTGCCCTTGTCCGTGTACCACACCTATAAATTCAACATTACAAGCAGCTCAATACTAAAAAGCACCATATGCAAAATATTAGGAGTGTTCAGTGGATACATTTCACCTCAGATTAATTATCATTAATAATAACTAAATAATAATAAATAATAATAACAAAATAATAATAACCTTGTACAAAGGTATTTATTGCTACCATCAAGGATTTCTGTAGCAAAGTAACTCTTGAGAGCATATTCCAAAGATTTGCATGATGTCTGGTAGGTACAAAAATAACAATGAATAGAATCAAATGTCATTGTACATGACTACTTAATAAAATTGTTGAAAAAAATTCTTCCTGTCATACCGGGATATCAATGCTACAGTCGTACATAGGAGTGATGCAGTAACTTGTGTGGCCACATGCACTACATCTCACTATAAATGTACATACCAAAAATTAATATTTGTGTATGCTGACAATATTATACCGAAATGCACTTTCATATCACTCTTTTAGTAATTTCAAACGGTTTATACAAAAATTGTTTATATATCATGATCAACTCTTACCAGAGCTGGTTGACTCCCCTCCAATTTCTATGAGTAAAGAAGACAATCCACTGGAGGAATGATGGAAGAGAGGGAAGTGTCAGCAGAGTCATGGCTATATATAATACACTGAGACATTTTRATAGTAGTAATATTCTACATTGRRGGCATGCAMGCAGCCTATCAATCTGTCAGATTGACTTGGTCGCATGGATAACAATGGATAACAAGTGACTATGCAAAGCATTTTATAAAGCTGTAATAATATAATGTGATTTACTTTTTTTGAGTGCAAGTTTCAATCGCTCCCATGATGGACATAAAAAGTTAATGGGCATCATCCTGGTCAAATGCCCCCGAAGGCTTTTGAATGAAATTATCAGAAAGGGCTAAAAAAACACATTAACCACATTGTAATGTCAAAACATAAATTATGGAGGATATACAAATATTTATAATTATTTATATATACAGCCTTTTGCACAAATTATGAGACATTTTTATATATATAAATATACCTAACCAAATATCAAAAACACCCAAGAAATTATGGGATACCG